TGAACAGTTATAACAACTGCCTATATTCGTACATATGTATTTAATAATCTTTAAAATTCAGTACAATAATTTCTTTTTTTTTTGAAGAGGTTTTTTTGCTATAGGACGCATGTGCTTGCCAGACAGACAGAGACAGACAGACAGAGAGACAGAAAGTGAGAAATCACCCCCCAGGGGGGATGGTCATGCCGCAATCCCTTCTCCTCCATTCTCCTCTCGGGATCTTGGGCACACATGCACACGCACCCAGCGTGAGTTTAAGTCACCGGGTCCGGGACTCGAACTGCGGTCTACTACATGGGCGTCCAGCGACATAGCCATTACGCTAACTGCTGGTCTAATTAAAAAAAATCTTTATTGTCAGAGGAGGCAGTGCTTGAGAAAAATAGACAGAGAGAGAGAGAAAAAGCACCCCCAGTAGGATTTGGTTACATTACAATCTTTTTTCTTCCACCCTTCCATTCCATCAGAACGTGGGCATGCACACACTCGATGTGTTTTATGAGCTACTGGGGCAGGATTCGAACTGTAGTTTGCTATGTGGGATCTGACTCCCTGTGTACAGTCCTTAACCACTGTGCTTCATGGCTGGCTGATAGGTTGGGCATCTGTGCTCATTGGAGAGAACAGAGAAAGAGCAAGAGACGGAAAGTGAGAAAGTACTCCCCACAGGGAATGGTTATGCTGCAATCTCTTCTCTATTTCTCTCTCCTTTTTGGGATTTTGGGCACACACGTCTCAAGCTACCAAGTCCAGAACTCGTACCATGTAGTCAGCCATGGGAGAGACAGCTCCTTAACCACATCATGGGATGGCCTCGTCATTTTCATATTGTATTTCCGACCCTGGCCTTTTTCCTCATCTCCAGACCCACATATCCAGTTTTCTTCATTCGAATATCCCCTAGTCACTTTAACAAATCCAAAAAAGATCTTTTTCTCTCCTTTGTATCTGTTCTTCTTTTTCTTTGAAAAATTTTTTTAATTTAATTTTTTTCTTACCAAGTGTTCTTCCTTTCTTACTCTAACAAATTTCATTTGGAACCTAGCCCAGAAACCCAAAAACTATTTCAGATTTACCTTTTCCAGATTTTCCACATAAATTAATCTCTAAGACCCATAGACTCCATTCCTTAAATTTTTTATACTGCTCTCATCATTTCTTTTGTTTTCCCACTGCTGTGAATCAGAATAATTATGATTATTTTTAGCATCTGCTATTGCAATAGCCTCTTTGATGGTCTTCCTTTTTGATCCCCACCCAGCCCCAGCTTGGATGAGTAAACATTCTAAATATTAATCTGACATTACTCTCCTGCTAATTTTCCTTTCAGTGTTTCTTTATCATCTATTCAAGACCAAAAAATGGAATGCCATGGGGCCAGCTGGTAGTATGGTGGTTAAGGTGCTGGACTCCCACATGGGCAACCATGGTTTGAGTCCAGGACCTGGAGGCTTGAAAATCACACTGGGCACGTGTGTGCACACCCAAAACCCTGATAGAATGGAAGAGAAGGAATTGTAGCATGGCCGTCTCCCCTAGAGGATGATTTCTCACTTTCCCTCTCACTGTCTCTCTCTCTCTTTCTGGTAAGCACAAATACCCTATGGCAAAAACCTTAAAAGGGAGGGACAGCAGGTGGCGTAGTGGTTATGGCACTAGACTCCCACATGGTTGACTGCAGCTTGAGTTCTGGGCTCCGTGGCTTGAAATTCATTCCAGGTGCTTATGCATGAGTGCTCACAATCCCTAGAGGAGAATGAAAGAGAAGGAATTATGGGTGGCCCTCGCTGGGGGGTGATTTATCATTTTCTCTCTCTCTGTGTCTCTGGCGAGTGCAAGCACCCTATAGCAAAAATCTCTTAAAAAACAAAAGAAAAAACAAAAACAAAAACAAGCAAACTTCCCTAGTATAACACTTAAAATTGATGACTACCCACCTGGCCATATTTTACTCTATTGCTCTCTTGCACTTTGTGCCATAAAAATATTTAACTCTTACCTAGTTTCTTGCATGAATCATTCATATATATAATATATATATATATATATTATTATATATTAGAGAGAGAGATTTTTGCTATAGGGAATGTGCAACATCCAGAGACACAGAAAGAGAGGGAGAGAAAGTGAGAAATCACGCCCTGTGGGGGATGGCCACACTACCGTCCCTTTGCTTTCATTCCCCTTGGGATTTGGGGCACACATGCACCAAGTTTCAAGCCACTGGGTCCAGGACTCAAACTGGGATTGGCCACGTGAGAGTCCAGTGCCTTCACCACTACGCCACTAGCTGGCCCTACGTGAACTGTATTTTTAAGTGTCTATGCCATTCTCTCCTCTGGAGTGCTTTAGTAAGCCTTTTCTCTCTGGCAAGCTCCTTGTGCTCCTCCTGCGCTCTGTGCCAGCGTTTCCTTCCTAAAGTCTTCTGTGCTGCCCCCATACAGCCCGAGGTACTTTATTACAGTAATTACCAAATTAACCACTGAACTTCCTCGAGGATAAGGGCTACTTTTGAACTTACTCATTTGGCCTATTCTCTTTTGCTTATAACCGAGTACCTGAGTCTAGATCATTTTTAAAGAATAGAGGTGGGCCAGCCCAAGGCAGTGACTGAGGCAGCTACATCCCACATGGCTGATGGATGATTCATTCTTGGATCCGGCAGCTTGAGGAACACACTTGTCATGTGTCTGCACCCAAAACCCTGACAGTAGGGAGAAATGGAGAAGGGATTGCAGCATGACCATTTTCCATGGGGAATGCTTTCTCACTTTCCCTCTCTTTTCCTCTCTCTTCGGCAAGTGTATGTGTCCTCTGGCTAAAATAAAATTAATTAATAAAAAGAATGGAGGTTTATTTAGCTTATATTTTTGGAGGCCCAGGATCAAGGGGGGCTGTATGTGGTGGTACTCTCTGTAGAGTTCCAAGGTTGTATAGTGCATTGCATGATGAGAGAGAAGAGAAGAGAAGTCTATTCATGTCTGTGTCTCTTTCATTCTTCTGCCTTGTTTTTTCTTAAGAGAGAGATTTTTTACTTTAGGGCATGCACATTCGCAGAGAGAGACAAAGAGATAGAAAGTGAGAAATCACCCTCCGGGGGGATGGTCATGCCACAATCCCTTATTTTCCCTTCTCCCCTTGGGATTTTGGGCACACACACACACACACACACACGCACATATGCATGAGTTTTAAGCTGCTGAGTCTAGGACTCGAACCATGGTCAACTATGTGGGGGTCCAGGGATATAACCATAATACCATCAACTGGTCTCTCTGTGTTTCTTCTTATAAAGCCTCCAGGATTCAATCAGGGGGTTCCTAATGCACACATTCTAGGGCCTTGGAGTCAGGTGCAACTGTTACATATTCTTATTACACATTATCCTTAACACTTCTGTAGCAGTAATTTATTTTCAATTTAGAGAAATTGCAAAAAAAGTATAAAGAATAATAGAAAGCTAGTACCATGGCCTAGTAGTTAAGGGAGCCAGAGCCCACATAGTCAACTGCAGTTCAAATCCTGGCTCTGGTGGCTTGAGAAACATGCCAGGCATGTGAGCATATATGCCCCAAATTCCAACAGGATGGATGGCAAAAAGGAGAAGAGATTGCAATATGACCATGTCTTTTTTGGGGGGTTATTTCTCTGTCTCTCTCTAGCAAGTGCATATGTTCTCTGGCAATTAAAACAAAAAAGAAATAAAGAGAGTTTTAAAAAACAATAGAGCAAATACTCTTTTCCCACACCTCAGTCCCTGAGTTCCCATAACTCAGAATTTCACATTTAAAATTCATCATAACTAGCTGTGTGTGTAATCATGGGTTTGGTAAGTAGTTCACTGCGAGACTGTAAACTCCATAAATAGTATTCCTTATACAGGATGTACATGTCTGGCAGTGTAGATGGGTCTTTCTTCAAGGAGTCTGGTGTGCAAAGTGGCTCAGATTTCAGAATTGACTGAGGGCAGTCACTCTGTTTTGGTGATTCAAGTTAGACTTCTGTTCACATGAATGCAGTCATACAATGTGTGGCATTTTGTGTCTGGAAGCTCTCAGTATAGTTTTTCTTTTCTTTTTCTTTTTTAAAGAATTATTTTATTTAACTTTATTTATTTTAATTTGACCAGAGAGTGACAGAGAGAGAGAGAGAGAGAGAGAGAGAAAGTGAGAAAGCAAGCCACCAGGTCCAGGAATTGAATTGTGGTCAGCCATGTGGGAGTCCAGTGCCCTTAACCACCAGGTCACCTGCCGGCCCCTCAGTATAATTTCCCAAGGTTCGTCCATATTGTAGCTTGTACCAGTACTTCATTCCTTTTTTAGGACTGAATAATATTCTATTGTGTGTATATATAACATTTTGTTTATTCATCAGCTGATGGGCATGTAGATTGTTTCAATTTTTTAGCTGTTATGAGTAATGTTAAACAAATATTCATGTACAAATTTTTGAGTGAAGGTTTTTTTTTTTTCATATTTGCTATAGGGCACATGTGCTCACCAGAGAGAGAGAGAGAAAGAGAGAGAGAAAGAGAGAGAGAGAGAAAGCATCTTCCAGTGGGCCATGCCACAATCACTTTTCCTCCATTTTCCTCTTGGGATTTTGGGCACACACTCACATGCATCAAGTGTGATTTTTAAACTGCTGGTTCTGGGACTCAAACCACCTAGCCAGCTATGTGGGATCCAGTCACTTTAACTACCATGCTGCCGCTGGCCCAAGTGAAGGTATGTTTTTAATTCTTTTGAGTATACACCTAGAAGCAGAATTACTTGACTATATAGTAATTCTCTATGTTTTAAAATTAAAATTTAAAATTTTTAATTGTCAGAGGACATGTGCTTGCTAGAGAGAGAGATACAGAGACACAGAGAGACAGAAAGCAGCCCTCAATGGGGTGTAGTCAAGACACAATCCCTTTTCCTCCATTCTTCCTTTCTATCAGGATTTTGGGCATGCATGCATATATGCCCAGTGTGTTTTTCAAATCATCAGGGCCAGGACTTGAACTGCAGTCAGTTATGTGAGATCCACTTCGATCTCACCATATCACAAGAGAAAGGGAGAAACACCCTCTACAGGTCTCATCATACTATAGTACCCTTTTCCCAGCCCTCCAGCTCCCCAGGATAGTAAGTACCCATGTTCCAGACTCACCCAGAGATCCAAACATGTGGCTGGCTACATGGTTTCTAGCCTCACTATGGCACTTATGTTACCACTGCACCACAGTGACTGGGCCATCACCACTACTTTTTTTTTTAAAGAGAGATTTTTGTCATAGGGTGCATGCGCTCACCAGAGAGACAGAGAGACAGAAAGGGAGAAATCACCCTCTGGGGGAATGGCCATGCTGCAATCCCTTCTCCTCCATTCACCTCTCAGGATTTGGGGCACATATGCACATGTACCCAGCGTGACTACATGGGAGTCCAGTGACATAACCATTACACCGTCTTCTGGTCCCTCTTTTATTTTTTTTGGGAGAGATTTTCACTATAGGGCGCGTGTGCTCGCCAGACACTCAGAGAGAGATAGAGACAGAAAGCGAGAAATCACTCCCCAGGGGGGATGGTCACGCCGCAATCCCTTCTCCTCCTCTCGGGATCTTGGGCACGCACGCACACGCGCCCAGTGTGAGTTTTAAGCCACCGGGTTCGGGACGCGAACCGCAGTAGACTACGTGGGAGTCCAGCGACATAGCCATTACGCTAACTGCTGGTTCCCTGGTCCCTCTTTTTAAAACAAAGAAGTTTCTCCTGTTTCTGTCCAATTGCTCTTCCCTCTTTCTCAATTCCATTCATTTCCAGTCTAACATCAGTTGTTATAACGTCATTTTTACCTGTCACAGGTTTTTGTAATCCAAGATGTCAGAAAGAAGAGTTCCAAAGAACTGGAATAGCACAACACTAGCATCTTCACCTAGACTGATTCCTGAGTGGAAGGACTTGAAACTCCTCATACATAAGATTGTGAAGGACATAAAGGTGATGTGTATAACAGTGTGCATCTGCTGGGTGTGGATTAATTAGCTGTCCCCGTCATGGCTATGGTATGGGCAATTTATGAGCAACTTTGAAAGGCCCTCCCATATCTCCCCTTCTAAATTAATATGATAGTATTAGGTACAATTGGAACATGTTCTGCTTCAAGTATCAGAAAATGGTTTTGCATAGATTAGACAAGTAGGAGGCACCTTTGTCTTATATGTGGTCAAAGATCCATGTTCTTTTTCCTTCTTTTCTGTTTTCCTTAATATGTTAGCTCATAACGGTTCTAAGATAGTTGCTGCACTTGCAGGCGTCAGCTTCAAACTGCATGTAGGTAGAAGAGCAAAGGTCAAAGAGCCACAGGGGAGGACCGGCCTTGAGGTACCATAGTAGTATCCCACATTGCCAGAATTTCTGCGTCCATGATCACCCTAAAGAAAATCAGGATTTTGATGTGGCCTCACTAGTGCATCCAAGGGGCGTGAGAGGGATGGTATGCTTCCCCCAGTCCAAGACTCACCAGGAAGAACATACTCATGAGAATTTGAGGGTAGAGGGGGATTGACTTCAGAGAGCACCTTCACTTCTACATAGCTCTGCACAACAAATTAACACAAGTTTTATTTATTTTTATCTTCTGGTTTTGTGGCATAAATATTTATTTTTTTAAATGTAAGGGGATTTTACTAAATAATGAAAACAGAAAGAAACTGAGGTTACAGGGAGGTGTTTAAAGAGAGGTAGGGTGGAAAAAGGATTTGATTCTGGCAAGGTAAAGATGCAGTAAGAAGGGATGAATTCAGGAAGAAGTTTTTGTTAGTGGCTGAGTACACTGATGTGTGGTCCTGAGGTTTGGGTATTGTCTCTTCACAATTTCTATCCTTCAAGTGGTAGCTAACTTCTCAGAATAGTCACATGCCTATACAAAAAAGCTACTGGTTTTCTTTGGGATGTTTTTCTTTCTTTCTTTCTTTTAAATAATTATTTAATTTTATTTATTCATTCACTTATTTTTTTTTTAAATTTGACTAGAGAGAAACACAC